GCTCAGCTACTCTTGAGCCCTCAGGGCAACGCAGACAACTGCTCCTGGCCGCCCCTCCCACGCCAGGCCTCCCCGGGGTGAGCGGGCACAGAGCCCAGCGACTGGGGCCAGGCGGGACCAGGGCAGCGCCCCCAGCCCCCTACCGGGGTTCTCGGCTACCCGGCCGCTTGGGCGGCGGGTTCCCGGCAGCCTCTACGGCGACACGCCCCCACCCCGCCCCGCTCTGTCAGCATCTGCTGCTTGGCTCACGCCGCCCCGCCCAGCGCCCCTGGCGGCCAGCAGGGGTGAGCCGTGGCGAGGAGGGAGAGGAGGGCCGCGGGGCAGGGGGGGCACTCGGCAGTGCGGGGCTCTTCCTGACAGCCATCCTCACAAAAGGCACCAGGCATTGCTAGAGGATCCTAGAGTCAGCCCAGCGTCCCCAGTTGCTTCCTGGGGCCCTTGGGAACCACACGTGCCCCCAGGGTGGGGTGGGCCGGGGAGGGCGTGCCTGGAGCAGAGGATTCCGCGTGGGAAATGCAGGCTACAAATAATGGGGACGGAGGGGTAGGGGACTGCGGAGAAAAAACATTGGAACGTTGCCCGCTACATGCGAACTGCGGTTAATTCTTCATGATTGGATGCAGTTTTTATTTTCTTCCTATTTCAGGGGCCTTGGCGCACACACTTTAGAACCAGAGAAAAGATGTCATTTCAGATCGTGTGAAATAGCTGGGAGGATTTCTCTCGCGCGCACGCTCTGGAATCAACGTGTGCAGCAGCAGTTCCCTGGGAAGAGGCTGTGCGCGGGATTGCGCCTGGACCCTCCCTCCAGCTCCAGCTCTGATGGGCAGTGAGGTCCCGCTGACGTCACTTCAGCTCTAGGTCCTTGTCTCTAAGTGGGAACCGCATCCAGCTCACAGAATTAAGGAAGATAAAATAGTGTGCTTAATGCAGGATCCCTGGCAGGTTTCACAAATGCATTTTCAAATTTTATTTATGTATTTATTTGAGAGGGAAGAGGAGAGAGAAAGAGCTATCCCACTCACTGGTTCACTCTTTAAGTGCCTGCAATGGCTGGGCTGTGCCAGGATGGAGGCAGAAGCTGGGAACCAATCCAGGTCTCCCACGTGGATGGCAGGAACCCGGTTCCTTGTGCCATCACTGCTGCCTCCCAGGGTGCATGACAGCGGGAAGAGGGAATCGTGCAGAACTGGGACTCATACCCAGGTACTCTGATAAGGGACTGGCCAAGTAGCATCTGCACCACCCAGCGCATGTTTAATCAATCCTGATGTCTCTTCCACTGTGTGTGTGTGGGGGGGGGGGCAGGATTGAGCAGGAAAGAGCAAGTGTCCACACTGAGTCAGCTCGGTCAGCCGGAGCAAGCCCCAGGACCCCTGACCCCTTCTCCCTCCCAGGCCTGGGTTGCTCCTCCTCCTCCCTAGTGATGCTCCTCCTCCCATCCCTCTAACAGAAACCAATCTTCCTCTTGGTGGTCCAGTGGTCACCCATGGAGACAGCAACCCTGCAGTTCTACTGGGTGCTGGGAGGCTGCGGCCAGCTCAGGTCGCAGTGTCACTGAGAGCCTGGCGGTGGCCTGTGGGATGGGAAGCAGGGCAGTTCTCAGCCCGTTCTGCTCCCAAGAAGCAAGTCCTGGCACGAGCTCTCAGCAGAAGGAGGACCAGCTCCCGGCCTCTCGGGAGGAAGTGGCCACAGTCCCACCCCAGGCCCCACCTTGTTCCCCAGGTATAGGTCGTGTGCCCGGCGCTGTTGGGGAACAGCAGACAGTGGAGCCCATCATAAACAACCTGGCCGTGTAACCGCTCCCCTGTACCCCAGCTCCCTGCTGCCCAACACTGCTGCCCAGCAGGCCCCCCTCACTGGCCCCACTGCTTCTCGACTTGCTCGGATTCAAGGCTTCCCACTCCAGGAGGCTTCACTCCCTGGCAGGTTCCAGGCCCCAAAACAGAGCTACTCCAGACCCCAGGCCCTGCTGCTCCCCTGCGGGAGGCTGGGAAAGGCTGTCCTGGCCTTCGTAGGGCTTCTTTGGGAGGCTGTAGCTTTCCAGGAAGGAGCATTTCTTCCAGATAGATAAGCTGTCTGCCCCCCCCCACCCCCCGGGAAGGGCCCACCGGCTCCAGGAAGGGGTCTCGTGCTCGGCCCGCAGCTCGCAGTGGGGCAGGGAGGGGAGGGACCCCACATGCTCACGCTGTCCTTGGCCTCAGTCAGGGTGCAGAGGAAGAGGGGACTCCTGGGGTAAATCAAACACAAAGGCCTGAGCACTGACTCACCCGGGCTGACCTCTAGGAACCCCCAGGGAAGGTCAGTCTACAGGGGCTGTGCGCAGGGACGCAGAGTGGTCTCTGCAATCCATGGGCTGCCCAGAGGGCCTTGTGACCCAGACCCTCTGCTAGTCCCTTGGCCTGTCCCCGACCTTGACGCCTGGACATGGCCCTCCTGAGGGACCCTCCCCACCAAGTCTGGGCTGTACTCTCTGCAGCTGGGAACTCTGGGCTGGGGGAAGGCAGGGAGGGTGGGGAAGGGGAGCGGCGGCAGAGGCATCATTGACGGGGTCAGGAGCAGGATGTTGAGAGGCTGATGGCGGAGGGGTGAGCTTAGAATGGAATTCCCTGAGAAGCCAAGAGCACACAGATGGACGGACACATCCACAGGCCTTCCTCCCAGAAGAAGCCACGGAACTGACATCAGACAGACAGGCAGACAAAACAGGCTCTGGGGAAACTACAAACCAGACAGACACACAGGACATCCTGGGGTAACTGGGTGCTAGACAGTGGCTGGAGCCCTGGGTCATCTCAGGGACAAGTCTCCCTGCCCCACACGGAAGGCTGCAGTAGGCGGGGCTTACTGGCCCCTCCATGAACCCATGTTCAAGAAACACACTCCCAACCTCCCCAGAACACCTCCCGCCCCCAGTCTTGCCCCCTGTCCCTTCAAAGGAAAGGCAGAAAGCAAGGTTTTTAGGAACTAAGGCAATGGGTTTTCCTAGCACCCACAGCAAACACTGGAGACACTCGGCTTCCCTTGGAGCTCCAGGTCTGGGTGGGGAGCAAACTGCCTGTGCTCCTGCCTGCTCTGCCCTTCACCAGCACCTCCCACTGCTTCCCACCTGGGGCCCGGGGCTGCAGGGCAGGGATGTGCAGGGGCAGAGGCGCTTCGGTCCACAGGAGGGGAGGCGGGAGAAGAAATGAAGTGAAATACCATAGCCAACTCATTGAGAAGCCCCATGGCCTACACCTGCCCAGGCCTGGGTTTCCAGAGGGTATAAGCTATCCCACCTGCCCAGAGCCTGGCACTTACTGTGCTCATTGAATTGAGCTGATCTGATGTGGGGAGGAAGACAAAACAGCCAAAATAGGGGCATTTTTCAGGACAGGGACTCAGGGTGCATGTTGGAGCCAGGGGCATCCCAGGAGGGAGCCAGTGTGCTTCAGCGTCTCCCTGCCACCCTGGTGCCCCCCAGAGCTGCCCTTTGCCTCTCTCCTCTTCTTTCCCACTGTTTCCTTCTTTGGTTCTCATTTCCAGGTAAACTACTTACCCTTTGGGGGTCTTCCCAATGCCCACTGGGTGGAGAGCATCTCAGGTGCCCAGGTGGGCCTTATTGGTCTTTGCATCCCTCAGCCTGGCTGAAATCTGGCAGCGGCCACCCAGGGCATCAGCACTGCTCTTGGTCCTTCGCTTCTACTTCCTGTTGCACAACCTGATGGCCCTTAGGAACTCCCATGCTTTTCTCAGGCCTGGGTTTAAGGACCCCCAAGGTGTGCCCCTCTTTGGGGCTCACTTCCCATTGTCCCTGATTCAGAGCCCTGCTCTGTCTCTGACCCTAACTGCCTTCCCTTCAAGGGAAAGTGAGCACTAATGCCTTTCAGGGGATGGTTTTGTACACCCCAAGGTCGCAGGCCCCGTCTCTGGTTAGTGTCTGAGGAACAAAGGGAGAATGAACATAGAATCACTGGACCTTAAGCCTGACAATGGTGAACAGTACGAGTTGACTGTCTGATGCTCAAGTGCAGGCACTGGTACTGTGTGACTGTGGGCCAGTCTCTCGAGTCTTCTGCCTCCCCCTGCAGCCCTCCCCATGAGGCAGAGGGAATAGCCTGCTGGTCTGAGGCTCAGTGAGCATCTGCATCAGTGCTGCTTTCTAGAGAGGCCAATTCCTTCAACGCACACAGAAGGAAATGAAGGCCCCAGGGAGTTCTGACACTTGCCCCAATTCATCCCTACCCAGGAGACTGGAAGTGGTGCAAATCTCAGATCGAAATTCAAAAGAAGTCAAGAATAAGCCAAGAAAAGAGGAATGTGTAGAGCTGAGGTCAAATGCTTGGTGGAAAAGAGAAGAACCAAGTGTCAGGCTGAGGTGCACGCAGATCCTGTTGAGAGGGAGGGACATGGGTGTGGGCAAGGAGGAAGAGAGATGGAGCACCCCACCAGCAGAGTCAGGAGGACAGGAGCCATTGGAATATTGAGCAAAAACAAAGATGAAAGCTCAGGGCAGTGACACCAAACTCCGACTCCTCAATGTTTCTCTTGCCTTCTAAACTAACACGGTGAGGGTTGAGACATCTTTAACATTAAGGTCAGTGGCCCTGGCTCCTTTGTGGGAGGAGAGAGGGTGTGCATCTTTGATCTAGAAGGATGATCAGGCTCTATCAATTGGTTGGGACCCACTGAGTCCAGAACCCCTACCATGCGATTGGTATGAGTGCATAACATGTATGTATAAACAAAGGAATTTCCCTGGATGTTGGCAAAAATCATATTATACATAGGATCCTGAGATGGAAGAAGCGTATCCTTGGGATTTGAATGATGGGGGATAATGGCCTTTAAAGGCAGGAATTACTTATCTGGAGTCCAGAGGAAGGGAAGAGAAATGAAAGTGAAAGGAATGAGCTAGAAACCAACAAGACCACATAAGACTCAGGAGGCCTGATGGTGTGTGCCTTGCTTCTGAGGAAGGAAGGAAGGGTTGGGGAGGGAGGAGGGTTCACCAATCCCACCTTTGGGAGGCCAGGTCAGAGCAGGCAGGCTTCTGCTCGGCATCGGCAGCTGGGCAGCAGAACTGGTGCAGCACAGTCTCATTCCTGTGGGCAGAACAGAAGGAGAAGATCAGGCAGATGCAGTGAGATGGAGGAGGGCTGAGGCAGACTGGACCCCGGCTCTACCAGATGCTACGACACCTCTGCCCTGAAGTTTGGCTACCCCTATCCCTGACTTTGGAGCCCCTGTATGCCACTGAGTAGCCAAAAACTGCTCCAAGGAAGAGGGTGGTCATGATCCATTGATGTTATGTCTATCATTTATGGCCCAACTCAAACACAGCCTCCTGCATGGAGTGTCCCCCACCTCCCTGCTCCACCCAGTCTCCCCTTAAACCCCTGCCCTGCAGTGGGCTCTCCTGCAGCAACTGACCATTGCTTGCCCTTTCTTTTCTCATGGTTAGTTAGCTCTTTTCTCTCTCTCTCTCTCTCTCTCTCTCTCTCTCTCTCTCATCTATTTATCTCTATCATCTATCTGCCTTCTATAACTAACCATCTATCTACCAAAATATGCATTTGTTTGAGAGGCAGAGAACTAAACAGACAGATGTACATCTGCTGGTTCACAACACAGATGCCTGAAAGCCAGAAACTGGAGGTTAATCCAGGTGTCCCACATGGGTGGAAGGGACCCATGTAGCTGAGCTATGGTGATAGCTCAGGTGTGATCTCTCTTAGGGTTTGCATTAACAGGAAGTTGGTATTGGGAGCCAGAGCCGGGACTGGAACTAAGGCACTCCAATATGGGACGTAGGTGTCATAACTGCCAGGCCAGGGTCTATCCCAGTGGGACAATTCTTTGCTATCTGATTCCGCACTAAGGTCTTGTGAGGGAGAACCAGGTCTGTTCTTGCACGATGTGCTGAGCATGCTTGAGCCGATCATCAGCAAAGATATGAAGTACTCACAAGGAGACTTTTGTCAGCTGAAAATCCACCACTGGGACCTTGGTGAGGGATTTACTGAGGGAGAGGAAGAAGCCTGTCCAGGAGGCAGGGGTCTGGGCCAAGGTTCAGTCACCAGCTGGCCAGAGGTATGAAACATCGGACACCTTTTCTGGGTCTCCATTCATTACTGTGGAAATCGGGCAGTGGGCCTAGAGAAGTGCTTCTCAGCCCTCAAGCCTCGCTGCATATTTGTCACAGGAGATTTTCAGAAATAGGGGTGCCCAGGCCCTGTGCTGCAGGGGCTCCAAGTCACGTGGTCTGGCAGGGCTCCAAGGCCCCAGGGCTAAGAGGTTCAAGGCAGAGGGACTGAAGGGTGCTGGCCTAGATGATGATTTCAATACCTGACACCTTGACCATGCTAGGATTTTGGTGTCCACTGTGAGCCAACCTGGAGTTAACATTGGGATCCCTTTGGGATGCAGTGGTGCAGACCCATTGTCTGGTCCTACCTGGAGGGGCCCCTGGGGGCCATCTGAAAGGGATTTCCACACTTAGTTCAGAGGTAGGACCCTTTGTCCACACCAAAGGGTGACTGGAAGTCCGTTTTTTTAAATTTTTTTTTATTTGTCAGGTAAAGTTATAAACAGTGTGAGAGAGACAGAGAGAAAGGTCTTCCTTGCATTGGTTCACCCCCTAAATGGCCACCATAGCTGGCTCTGTGCTGATTCAAAGCCAGGAACCAGGTGCTTCCTCCTGGTCTCCCATGTGGGTGCAGGGCCCAAGCACTTGGGCCCACTTGGGCCATCCTCCACTGCCTTCTTGGGCCACAGCAGAGAGCTGGACTGGAAGAAGAGCAACCAGGACTGGAACCCAACACCCATATGGGATGCCAGCGCCGCAGGTGCAGGATTAATCAAGTGAGCCATGGCGCTGGCCCCTGGAAGCCTGTTTTGTAAACAACAGAAGCCAAACAGCTCCATGGTCAGGGCTGGGCTGCAAGGCCACTTCCCAGACTCCCCAGCACCTCCCAGGCACCTCTGGGAGCCCTTAGGCTTGGGGCGCAGGCCTTAAATGATGAGGCTGGCTGTCTTTGTGGTAGAAAATAGCACTGGAGTCTATCTTAATGCTACAAAAATTAATTCCAGAGAGATGATGTGATTAAATTAAAGCACACGCACACTGGAAAAGGCTCAGAAGGAAACTTAAGCATATTACTTATATATGGGGAGATTTTAAAACCAAACAGGAACCTGAAAAGCCATTAGGGAACACATAGACATGTTAGCTGACATTAAATGACAGCATCTTGTATGGAAAAAGATGCCCTAATGTGTTATAAGATAAGGCATAGACTGGGAAATATCCTAAACTGACTGCAACAAATGTTTAACAAACCTGGTAGAAAAAATTGGGTTATGGAAGTGAAGAGCAGTAGACAAAAGAGGAAGAGTAAAGAGCCAATAAATACATGGAAAGGTGCCCCCACTGTGCTAGGTCAACAGGAAAATGCCAGTTAAAGTAGCACTACAACTCCATTTCTCCATCCATCAGATGGGTAAATCTTCAAAAGCCTGCTAATGACAAGTGCTGGAGAGGAGGTGGGAAGGTGAGTGTAGCTGTGCATTTTCCCAGGTCTTTTGGGTAATCAAAAGGAACAGCGGGTTGAGCTGTCATCTGCAACACTGGCATTCTATATCAGAGCACAGGTTTGAGTCCCAGCTGCTCTACTTCATATCCAGCTCCCTGCTAATACACCTGGGAAAGCAGCAAAGATGGCCCAAGTACTTGAGCCCCTGCACCCATGTGAGAGACCAGGGTGGAGTTCTAGCTCCCTGCTTTGGCCTGGCCCAGCCCTGGCTGTTGGCAATCATTTGGGGGGCAAACCAGTGGATGAAAGATTGTTCCTCTCCCTCTCCCTTTCTCTCTTTCTCTCCCCCACCCCCCACCCTTCTCTATCACTGTCAATTGAAGAACTAAGTCTACAAACAAATTCAACATGGGTTTGAACAAGGACCAGAAAGTATCAGAAATTAGCAGGGATACTGAAGTCATTTTAAGAAAAGACATGGGCGATTTTTAAATGGGACTTTTGTGACTAGATTATTGATTACATATGCTTTATAATCCATAGATTAATAACTAATGCAGAGGCCGGCACTGTGGCATAGTGGGTAAGGCATCCCATATGGGCACCAGTTCGAGTCATGGCTGCTCCACTTCTGATCCAGCTCTCTGCTATGGCCTGGGAAAGCAGTAGAAGATGGCCCAGGTCCTTGGGGGTTCCTGCACCCACGTGGGAGACCCACCCGGAGGAAGCTGCTGGCTCCTAGGTTCAGATTGGCACAGCTCCGGCCATTGCGGCCAACAGGGGAGTCAACCAGTGGATGGAAGACCTCTCTCTCTCTCTCTGCTTCTCCTTTTCTCTCTGTGTAACTCTGACTTTCAAATAAATAAATAAATAAATAAATAAATAAATAAAGCTTTTATAACTAATGCAGCTAATGCCTAATTTGCAGGTGAGAAAACCGAGGCCCACAAGGAAGCAATTCACCTCGAGCTGCTCCCCAGGCACTGGCCAGTCCGTCTTCCAGCTGTGCCTCTTCCACTGCGGGAGCCACCTGGCTAAGAGCACACCACGTTAACGCAGGTGCAAGTTCCTGTTCGTTGAAGCTGGAAAGGAGCCGTGATGAGCCTGCATCTGTGGCTCAGCCTGATGCCGCCCTGGAGCAGCTGTCCTGGGCCCATCTCCCTTCTCCTCTCTGGGCCCACTGCCACCACTGGGCAGCAGAGGCTGGGAAGGAGCACAGAGGACAGGAGGGGCCCTGCTGGAATGATTGGGATGTCCCATCCCAACCTTTCTGGACGTGAGGCAGGGCCCATGGGCACAGCTTGACTCTGTCCACAGAACCTTAAGTCTCTCTGTCCTCAGGGGGGTGGGCTTGACGTCTTGCCACCGCCCCTGCCCAGATAAGCATGCGGGCCCTCTGGCAGGGGTCCTGACTGCCCACACATGGATCACAGCCCTTGGGTGTGTTCTTCAAGCCCCTTGTCTCTCAAAGCCTCAGTTTGTTCACCAAGAAATCCTCACCAGGATAAATACAGCAGCGAATGCAAAGGCGCATGGTGAAGGGACGCCTACACGCGTGGCCTTTTACCCACTCGCCGTCCTGACCCCGCACTTTCCTCATCCGTCCAAGTGACAGGAAGACGGGAAGGGGTCTTTCTTCCACCAGCGACGTTCCTTGCACCCCTGAAGTCAGCAGGGCTGTGTTTTGTGGATACCCGGAGGCCAGAAACGTCCCCTCAGTCAAAGAGCAGAGATGGACAGCTCTCTGAATCTGCTTCCCGAACATTCTCTCTGTACCTAATTCCTCACGCGCCCCTGCATCCCCATTTCACTGGGGCAGAAATCGAGATTGGTGCAGAGCGGGAAGAGTCCCAGTAGGTCTCACCAACCCCAAAGATGCTGGGCCTTCCAGCCGAGTGTCTGGGACCCGGACTGCAGCTGCTTCCCATTACTACTCGAGAAGCAAGGGCAGGAGCAAGGTTCCCACGGGGATGAGGGTAGTCGCCACCTTCTGGGTGAGGCTGGGTGTGGAGGGCCCTTCACGTCCCCAGCCTGCCCTACAGCATGAGCCTGGGAGGGGCATTCTCAGCACCACCGGGCGGGGGGGAGACATCATGTCACCCTGTAGCCATGTAGCCTGTAGGGTTTTCTGCTCTAGCTGAGGCCCCAGGAATTCTGGAGCTGGGGGAGGGGGAGGTAAGAGGTGGGGGACCTAAGGAAATTGGCAGTGGAAGGGACATGGCCCCTTCTCAGCCATTGGCTCTTGGAATTCTCAGTGAGAGGGATGCCTATGGCATCCAGGCCAAAAGCTGGTTTTGTGAACTCCGAATTCCAGGATCCATGACTTTACATCTCTGTCCGGCTGTAGCAATCTCAAGTGCCCATATCGACGGGGCTGTGGTTTGAATATGGTGTGGCCCCAGACTCATGCAGGCTCTCTAGGCTCCCAAACTGTAAGTGAATGGGGTAAGGAGGGTGGAATCCTGGCCCAGTTGTGGCGTTAAGGAGGTGGGCTGGTCAGCAGGCAGCCCTTAGCTCACTGGGGGCGTGCCCTTGGAGGTCTCCTCGTGACAGGCCTGTTAGAAAAGCCT